TGCTGATGATGCTGATGATGATGATGAGATGATGATGATGATGATGATGATGATGATGATGATGATGATGATTGGTGGTGGTGGTGGTGGTGGTGGTGATGATGATGATGATGATGATGATGATGATGAGGAGGAGGAGGAGGAGGAGGAGGAGGAGGTGGAGGAGGAGGAGGAGGAGAAGCAGGAGGAGGATAATTCGCAGGAGGTGGAGGGCCCAGGGTGAGAGGACGTAGCCGAAGAAGGAGGAGGAGGGGAGGACGAGGGAGAGCCGCGAGGCGCCGCAGGAGGCAGCCCCCCCCCCTCCCTCCCCCGCCCGCAGGCACAGCGGCGCCTGCGCGCCGTGCGCAAGAAGCTCCGGGAGCTGGAGCAGCTGGAGGCCGGCAGGGCCAGGGCCGTGCGCCGCTCTCTCTCTCTCTCTCTGGCAGCCTCGCGGCCTCGCTGCCTCGGTCTGCCTCTGTGTGTCGCTGCCTGCCACGGGCTCTGCCCGCCCTGCTGTCTCTCCGTCTCTGTCTCTCTCTCTATTTCTCTCTCTGTCTGTCTCTCTTTCGCCCTCGCTCTCTTTTTTCCCAACCCTCCTGCGTTGGGTACTCGTTTTGAATAGAGCACTGCGGTCGCGTCTTCTCTCCTCCTTCCCGTCCCCCTCCTCTCCTCTCTTCTCTCGATCTGTGAAACTGTCGCCACTTTCGAGGGCTGCTGGGGGGCCCAGCACAGTGACGTCTTACGGGGACTCAGATTAGACCTCGCCATCGCTGGGGGGCTGCGATCCGTGAAACTGTCGCCACTTTCGAGGGCTGCTGGGGGGGGCAGCGGAGTGACGTCTTACGGGAACTCAGGCTTGACATCGCCATCCCTGGGGGGCTGCGATCCGTGAAACTGTCGCCACTTTCGAGGCCTGCTGGGGGGCCCAGCACAATCTACACCCGCGGCGGACTCAAATGGGACCTCGCCATCCCTGGGGGGCTGCGATCTGCGAAACTGTCGCCACTTTCGAGGGCTGCTGGGGGGCCCAGCACAGTCTGCACCCGCGGCGGATTCAAATGGGACCTCGCCATCCCTCGGGGGATGCGATCTGCGAAACTGTCGCCACTTTCGAGGGCTGCTGGGGGGCCCAGCACAGTGGGTACCCACGGCGGACTCAAATGGGACCTCGCCATCCCAGCACAGTCTGCACCCGCGGCGGATTCAAATGGGACCTCGCCATCCCTGGGGGGCTGCGATCTGTGAAACTGTCGCGACTTTCGAGGCCTGCTGGGGGGGGCAGCACAGTCTGCACCCACGGCGGATTCAAATGGGACCTCGCCATCCCTGGGGGGCTGCGATCTGCGAAACTGTCGCCACTTTCGAGGGCTGCTGGGGGGCCCAGCACAGTGGGTACACACGGCGGATTCAAATTAGACCTCGCCATCCTTGGGGGGCTGCGATCTGTGGAACTGTCACCACTTTCGAAGGCTGCTGGGGGGCCCAGCACAGTGGGTACCCACGGCGGACTCGAATGGGACCTCGCCATCCCTGGGGGGGCTGCGATCTGCGAAACTGTCGCCACTTTCGAGGCCTGCTGGCGGGGCCCAGCACAGTGACGCCTCCCAAGTAGCTTACACATCAAGTTGATTGTCCATACAAGTTTCGGCCAACTCCTCGTTTCCATTGATACAAATGGGTTGTGTACGTCACAGGGTATTTTTTGTAAGTCTAAACATAGTATAAAACAGCATGTCCCTCTACAGGAGGAATATCAGAAAATAGTCAAACAAATAGCCTGGCGACGAATTTTCGACTAGGTTTTGATTAATACTGTTTGGGAGCATGTCTTGAATGCTTTTCATTGTTCGCCCAAAATCCGCCTGCAGGGGAACATGCCCGACCTAAGTCTAGGCTGGAGTGGTGGGCCTGGCGCAGATGGGGGGCGGTGAAAGGTGCAATCCCAGCCCCCCTCCAGACGTGAAAAAATCACGACGGGAGGTTTTTCACTGCTTTCGGCCGTTGGGGGCCCTTACCGGCCCGCAGGACCGTCAAAAGACGACTCGGGATGAAAAACAAGTCCTGGCGAATGGGTCCAGACCTCTGGGGGTCGCGTCATGAAAAAGTCATGACGTCGGGGGTCTGGGATCGTTTCATTACGTAAGTGTGTACGATTGAATGAATTAGTGCGCAAGAGCTGCGTTGGGGGCGCGAAATATTGCAAGGGCAACGGATACGGCATGTGAAGGAAATATACGACTGCACCCACTCCCAATTTTTGCATCCAGCAGCGCAAGGTGTTGATCCAGACGTCAACTGTCGCGCGTAATTGCTATTGCGTCTCTCCCCGCGGATATGTCTGCGCCAGACCCACTACTCGGGCTCAAACCGGCTATAAGGGGGGCAGAAGCGGAAGAGGGGAAACCAAGGAGGGGCGGGGGGGGGTCCCAGAACAATACCGCGCAGAAGAGGAACACGTACCGATACCGCTGCCATGCCTTCGTCGCCACGTCTGGACCCCGGGAGAGGTCCGGGGAGCAGCTGTGCCCCTTTTTCCTGGAGAGGGCGTATGCCCAGGGTTCTCTTTAGTACGTACGCCTGTCCCTGGGTGCCATGTTTCGGATTGACCCAAAGGGTGTCCAGCGACAAGGGGGTGGTGCAATGGATTTGGAGCGAAAGATCTGTGGGGTTGCCATACATTCGGGGCGTGCAATACATTCCGGGGCGCAAGCGTATTGCTGGATTTTCGCGTGCAACGCATTACTTGCAATACAATGCAATGCAATTCTCTAGCGCAATATATTTGCAATATGTTTGCGTAAATATATTGCACCACCCCCTCTCAGTTGGACCCCCTTTAGGGTCACCCAAAATGTTTCGGGGAGGCCGGCCGAATTCCATTCGATCAATCACGCGGTGAAGTCGCAGTTTGCGTAAAATTGCGTTTCGCGCGGTCCCGCTCGAGGAGAGCAGAAGCCACATACCGGATCCACGATAAATAACGAGGTCCGCTGACCTGCGTCTTCCCACGTCAGAAAAGGGAGCGGGGCGTTTTCCGCATAATCCTCAATAAAAAACAGTTGGTTTGGAGACCCTAGAATTACCCCACAACGTGTGGACATGTTGACATGTTGCGTCCGCGCTCGAGGCGCGTCCTGCGCGCAGAACTTTGAGGACATCTCGAGCGAAACGCTCGTTTGGGAGACGTACAGAGGCCGTCACTGTTCCCTAGCCCTCTTCGCTTCAGGGCGGAATAAGCGTGAAAACACGTGGGTGCTTGTCGCCTCAGGGCGCGGCAAGTGTGAAGTCACGTGGGCCCCATTCGCCTCAGGGCAAAGCAAGACTGAAAACACGCGGGTCCTTTTCGCCTCAGGGCGGAGCAAGCGTGAAAACACTTCCTGTACGCTTGCTCTGCTTCGGGACGAAAGGGGACCACGTGTTCTCACGCTTGGTCCGCTCGGGGGGTCGAAAGGGACCCACGTGTTTTCACGTTTGCTGCGCTCTGGGGCGACAGGGGCCCACGTGTTTTCACGCTTCTCCCGCCCTGGGGCGAACAGGAGCCACGTCCTTTCACGGTTGTTGTGCTCTGGAGCGAAAGGGGCCCACGCGATTCACGTTTATTCCGTTTCTGGGTCGACAAGTACCCACGTGTTTTCACGCGTCCTGGCCATCCAGGGGCCGTCTCCCCAGCGCAAACTCAACAAACCGGCACTGGATACATAATCACTTGGCACGTTCATCCTTGGGGCTCTGGGGAGGCCTCCTTTTGGCTTCCTGGAGTGGACCCACGTGTTTTCACGCTCATTGCATTCTGGGGCGAGAGGGACCCACATGTGCTCACGCCTGCTCCGCCCCTGGGGCGACAAGGGGTCCATGTAGTTTCACGCCTGCTGCGCTCTGGGGCGAAAGGGGCCCACGTGTTTCCACGCTCGTTCCGCTCTGGGGCGAAAGGGACCCAAGGGGGATTTTCGACGAAAAATAAAACATACCGCAAAAACAATCAAACATAATCGAAAAATAGTCTGGGGATTATTTGTTGGGTATTTGTTTTACCTTTTGGGGGTATTCTGGGGGCCAGCTTGCTCCGCTTCGGGCCGAAAAAGGAGCCCTTGTTGTCTACCTCCTCCCACGTGATGCCACCCTCCCCCCCGTCGGAGAGCGAGGACTATTGAGCTTCTGGACCTCCTCCCGCGTGGCCCGCTCCTCCCAGAACGCGACAGTTGCGAGGATTCTGAGCCGCTGGACGTCGTCCTGCGCGTCGCGTCCTCTTGGCGCGTCCCGCGGCGCGTCCCCCTTGGCACGTCCTCGGCACGTTCCCTGGCACATTCCGTGGCGCGTCCCCCTGGCACGTCGTTCGGCGCTTCCTTGTGCACGTCCCGTGGCACGTGCTCTGGCACGTTCAGTGGCGCGTCCTCTTGGCACGTTCCGCGGTGCGTCCCCACGGCGCGTCCCTTGGCACGTCCCCTGGCGCGTCCTTTGGGACGATCCGCGACGCGTCCCATGGCACGTCACTGTGCGGCACAGCGCAGTGCAGCACAACACAGCCCCTGGCACAGCATCATCACCATCGATATTTTCAGCGTTGCCATTGCCCATCGCCCAACTGTGGTCTTCTGACACGTTTCCATTCATCGCAGTTCTCAATCCCTTTCCGGGTTCGTAGGTCGATCATGCTTCGCCGTCCCTGGTCGTTTCAGCCGTTTGCGCGCGTGTCCTCCCGAACCTTGATTCACACCACTTTGGAGCCCTGCCCGCGCCATCCACTATTCAAGGGATGGAAAATCACACGGACCTGACAATTGGCGCTTACTATACGGCCTTGGGCGTTTGCTAAACAGCCCTGCCCTGCTTGATTCCTTCTTTGGGTGCGTTTTCTAAATGGCCTCGCGTGCCGGGGTGGTCATGATGGGGGTGGATTTTCTGCCCTCGAACTGTGCTGGGTGCAATCCACACGTGCCTCTCCGAGCTCGCTGCTACGCGGTCCCTCCGCCCTCGGCGGCCATCACACCGCCGCGCATCGCACCCGCGCCGCGCGCGCGCGCGCCCGCGAGGCGGAGGAAGACGGCAGCCTCGGCGCCGCGCTCGGCGAGCTCAGGGCGGACGCCGCCCTGGCGGGCGCCGCCCAGGCGCCGGCGGCGGGGGCCTCGTCGGCGTTGGCGTCGGCGGCGTCGGCGGCGAGCTCAGGGCGGACGACGCCGGGGGACCGGCGGCGTGGGTGGAAGGCGGCGGCGGCGGCGCTGCGGAGGGCCAAGTTCTCCTGGGCACCCTCCGGGGGCCAGGGAAGCCCGCGAGCACATCGGCTTCGGGCTTCCCTAGGGATCCTCCGCCGCTGCTGGTCCCGCCTGCCCGGAAGAACGAGAGCCAGAAAGCAGAAATATCAAGCTTCGGGGTTCTGCGCGGATCTGTTTGGGGCGGGGGCCGCGGCATCCCAGAGGCTAAGAGAAAGGGGCATACAGTCAGATCGCTGAAGTACGGCCTTCATTGGGTTCAGGAGGGGCTCTGGTTTTGGGGGGCGTTCCTCAGATCTAGGTCAGGAAGCCCATTCGTGGTCGATGTTCGCCGCGGCCTGAACATGCCCCTCGTTGTGTGTTGCATGTCTCACGGCAGCCCGGATTTATTAGGTCGGTCCGATCTTCGGAACACATGAATTCTCCACTATTCGCGTATCCCCACCAGAGTTTCGTTCTGTCCGCGTAGTGGTCCGTCGTTTTTTTCCCGGGGGCGCCGGCCCAGGGTTCTCTTTTAGGATGATAATCGTGGGCCGGCGGAATTCCGCTCGATAAAAAACTAGGTAAAGTCCAATTCGGCGTGAAACAAATGTGTTTCGCGCGTGCCCGCTCGAGGAAAGTCGACCCCCCATCTCGGATCCTCGATAATAACGGCGTCCGCGGACCACCGCTTTCCTTCGTTAAAAAAATGGTGCCGGGCACTTCTAGCAGAATCTTAGAAAAAAAACCGAAATCTGGAGCCCCGACCGCGGCAGGAATTCCGAGGATGTCTCGCGCGTGCCGCGTCCCGCGCGCAGGAATTTCGAGGACGTCTCGACTAATCAGTTTGTTTTGCAAGGATGTCTTTGGATTTTGAGCGGATGTCTCGAGCGAAACGCTTGTTTTTCATCGTTTGTTGAGGATGTCTCGAGCGAAACGCTGGTTTTGCACAATTGGGGGATGTCTCGAGGGGGGGCCTCGTGGCCGGCCAGAATTCAGAGGATGTCTCAGGCGAAATGTTTGTTTTCACGTCCCGCCCGTAGGAATTCCAAGGATGTCTCGCCCGTGCCGCGTCCCGCGCGCAGGAATTTGGAGGACGTCTCGACTAATTCGTGCATTTTGCCAGGATTTCTTTGGATTTTGAGCGGATGTCTCGAGCGAAACGCTGTTTTTTTTAATAATGTTCGAGGATGTCTCGAGCGAAACGCTGGTTTTGCAAAATTTGTTGATGTCTCGAGCGGGGGCCTCGTGGGGGCCAGAATTCAAAGGATGTCTCAGTCGAAATGCTTGTTTTCACGTCCCGCTCGCAGGAATTCCGGGGATGTCTTGAGCGTGCCGCGTCCCGCGCGTAGGAATTATGAGGGTTTTGACAGGATGGCTAGAGCGAAACGCTTGTCTCCAGCACGTTCCATAGCGCGTCCCCTTGGCACGTCCCGCGGTGCGTCCCCATGGCACGTCCCTTGGCACGTCGCTTGGCGCGTCCCTTGAGACGTTCGGCGGCGCGTCCTCCTGGCATGTCCCCCTGTCAATTAGCTCTGGGGCAGCTACTATGTGTTCAGGCAGCTCGAGCTTAAGATCCAGATCAGTTCGGTCAGGACTCGGATGCAAAGGAGGACTCGATCCACGAGGCTATAAAGCACAATCGCGGCATGGCACATCGCAATTCAGCACGGCTCAGCACAGCACAGCCCTCGGCACGGTACATCAAGATCGATACATTCAGCATTGCAACTTGGCACGTTCCGTGGCGCGTCCCGTGGCGAGTCCCCCTGGCACGTCGCGCGGCGCGTCACCTGGCACGTCCCGTGGCACGTCCATTGGCACGTTCCGTAGCGCGTCCCCTTGGCACGTCCCGCGGTGCGTCCCCATGGCACGTCCCCTGGTACGTCGCCTGGCGCGTCCCTTGGGACGTTCCGCGGCGCGTCCTCCTGGCAGGTTCCCATGTCAATCAGTTCTGGGGCAGCTACTAGATATGTGTTCAGGCAGCTCGAGCTTAAGATCCAGATCAGTTCGGTCAGGACTCGGATGCAAAGGAGGACTCGACCCACAACGCTACAGAGAACAATCGCGGCATGGCACATCGCAATTCAGCACAGCGCTGCACAGCACAGCCCTCGGCACGGTACATCAAGATCGATACATTTAGCATTGCATTTGCCCGTCGTCCAATCAGGTGTTTTTGAAACGTTGCCATGCCTTACATTTCTATATTCCTTTCCGGGTTCGTGGGTCGATCATGTTGTTGGCTTTTGGGTGGCTTTACTGGGCCTCGGGACCGTATAAAATGACTCAGGATAAAAAACACAGCCCCGGAACATGGGTGTGGGCGGACTCTTGAGGGTAGCGTCATGACACACATCATGATGTCGGGGGTTTGGGATGTGCTCTTCGTCAGAGTACCCCAGGTTTCCTCGCTGCGCAGCGACTTCCCGCGGGCCTTGAGACACTGCTGCGCTCAGGGGTGCGTTCGCCCCCCCCCCCCCCCCCAAAAAAAAATGTACCGCGCGTGCGGATCTCCAGGGCTGGCGACTTCCCGCGGGCCTTGAGACACTGCTGCGTTCGGCCCTCTCCCCCAAACGGTACCCCGCGCGTGGATTTTTAGGGCTCGATTTCTTTTGAGGCTTTCTTGCGGCCGCGTCCGCATTGTGCCACGCTTCTACTTGCCAATGGGCATGGTGGCGGATCCAGATGCACCTAGACAGAAGGTGTATTATCCTGCACCTAGACAGAAGGTAGACAGAAGTTGATCAAGTTTCCTCTGGTGCTCCTGGCATGGCCAATTCCGTAGCCGTTCAGGGTCAAAGTCCATCGCAATAGATACGACAATTCCTGATCTAAAGCATCTGGCCAGACCCACACGCCCCTTTCAGCTGTTCTGCACGCGATGACGTCCACCGATGAGCTCAAGGCGCTGAAGCAGAACATGTCGCCGTGCGTCGCCTGCTGCTGCTACGAGTTGTCCTGCACTGCCAGCGATGCGATGAATCCGCCGCTCATGGGCTCCTTCAAGGTTTGCTGCTGCGCGGGATCTATCGCGCTCGAGTGCTGCTGCATCAGTTGCGAGCCAGACCCTTGCTGGTCCGAGGAGCGTGGCATCTGCGAGGTCGCGAGCAAGGTCCTCTGCTGCTACACGGAGGTGCAGTTCCCCCCCGGCAAGGACATCGGATGCGGTTGCTGCGGCGTTGCGTTCTGCCGCTCGAGCGACGACGCGCCTCCAGCCGAGGAGTGAGGGGTTCCGCTTCAGGGCGCTTCAGAACCACGCGCGCGCAAGCCTTTGGATCTGACGGTGTGACCACCCTCAGAGATCCCACATCAAGAGCAAACAACGGGGTCACAATGACGAACCTTTAGCGATTGTTGTGTGGATATCGGGCTCTGCTGAACACTGTCGGCAGCAAAGACGCCCGCCTTCGAGAAAATGAGAGATCATCCTGGTTCAGTTCGCTACCAATCGGGTCTTCGGCCAGGACGGCTTGGCGGAGGGAAGAGGCATCCCATCGACCCCCATTCACACGTACCTGTCTCTCTCTCTCTCTCTTCCTCCCTCTCACCCTCTCTCTCTCTCTCGTTCTTCCTGTCTCTGTATCTCTATCCTTCTCTCTCTCCGCCTCACTTCTCACCAGGAGGTGGAAGAGGAGGTGGAGGAGGAGGAGGAGCACCCGTCGTCCCTTCCCCACGGCTGACCCCAAGGAGAGTCCCGGGGGCCAGGAGCCGGCAAGAGGAGACGCTCCCCCGAGACCGCCCGGGCCTCGGCCCCAGTGGTGCCCCCAGACTTCCTGGCGAACAGGGGGCAGGGGATGCCTCCTTCCCTGCCTGCTGCTCCTCCTCCTCCTCCTCCTCCTCCTCCTCCTCTTAGGTCGGGCGTGTCCTCCTACAGGCGAATTTGGGGGAAAATTGAAAATATTCCAACAATATTCAACAATAGACAAAATTAGTAAAAACAGAAATCGTCCCCATAGTATTCTTTTGACTACATTCGAATATTCCGCCTGTAGACGGACATACCCGACTTAATCTTCCTCCTCCTCTTTCTCCTCGTCCGCGTCCTCGTCCTCGTGTTCCTTCCCTTCGTCCTCCTCCTTTTCCTCTTGTTCCTCCTGTTCCTCCTCCTACTCCTCCTGCGACTCCCCCTGGTGGAGCAGGGGGCGGGGGTATCAGAGTAACCATACCTCAGAAGGAGGATGGAGGGGGCAACACCTCGGCCGCAGACGATGTTCGACGACGACGACGACAATGGTACCGGCGACGACGACGTCGGCGGCTACGACGCCGACCACGACGGCGACGATGACGACGCCGACGACGACGACGACGATCGATCGTTTCTCTCGCTCGCTCGCTCACTCGAGCGAGCGAGCGAGCACGCGGAAGCCACACGTTTAGGGCTGCCTCCACCCGACCCGACCCGCCCCGCTGGCACGGCTCGTCTGCTCGAGCGAGCGAGCGGGCGATCTGATGTGTCACGCCCGACCCGCCCGAATCGCTCGCTGCTTCGCTTGCTCGAACGAGCGAGCGAGCGAGCAAGCGAACGCCAGGCATCTAATTGTGGGAACGAAGAATGAGACACACACACACATCAAAACTCGGAGGTCCGCGCGGATTCCTCGGATCGGCGCTGGGCCCCCCCAGCGGATCGCTCCGCGCGCCAGGGAGGGGGGCCCAGCGCGGATCCGATGAATCAGCGCGGACCTCCGAGTTTGTATGTTTATGTCATTCATCGTTCCCCTAATTAATACCCCACCCGCTCGAACCGACCCCCACTTGCCTCGGAGAGCGAACAGTCGACCACCATGCATGTAACGTCCTGCCCGCCCCGCCCCGCCCCGGCCCCCCGTTCCCTCGCGTGCCTGCTGCAGCTGGCGAGCGAGCAAGCGACCACCACGCAGTTCATGCCCCGCCAGCCTTCTACCCGACCCGCCCGACTCTTCTCGCTTGCCTGCTCGAGCGAGCGAGAGGACCAACTCCCTCCTTTCCTCGCTCGTTCGCTCGCTCGCATGTTTGCACCAGCTAGCGAGAGAGCAAGCGAGCACCCGTCGTTGTCGCCGTCGTCGTCGTTGTCGTTGTCGTCGTCGTCTTCGTCGACTTCGTCGTCGTCGTCGCCTTCGTCGTCGTCGTCGTCGCCGTCGCCGTCGCCGTCGTCGCCGGCGCCGGCGCTCGCCGTCGTCGGCAGCAGAGGGGGGGCCTGGTTCGACCCCCCCCTGCAGTTAAAGAGGGGGGGCCCAGTTCAACCCCCTCTTGGACAAGGAGGGGGGTCGTTTGCCTGGAGCTTGACGCCAACGCCACTATCGGCGGTGTGCTTCCACCGAGGGATGGCGATCCCGATCTCGTTGATGGTTGTAATTTTTGGGCTTCCTAGGTTGCCGAAAAATTGCCACCAACACCAACATCTAGGATCATCTTCCCCCGGCGGGGGCGAACCCCTGTGCTGGTGTTGGTGCCCATTTCCAGGCCTCCTAGGGGGTTACGGGGGTAGTTCGAACCCCCCACGAGGAGGAGGAGGAGGAGGAGGAGGAGGAGGAGGAGGAGGAGGACCCCCTTGCAGTTCAGGGGAGGGGTGGGGGGGGGGCCCGATTCGAACCTCCCCCCCCCCCTGAGATGGGGAGGAGGGCCTCTCGCAGGTCCGAGCCCCCCACCCTATAACTCTGGGGCGGGATGGGGTGCCAGGTTTCAGTCAGGCATGTCCCTCTACAGGAGTAATATTCAAAAACAGTCAAAACATAGGGACGATGCTTTTTTTCTGTCTTTTGCTATGTTTGAACATGTGTTTCCTATGTTTGATTTTTCGTCCCGAATCCGCCTGTAGGGGGACACGCCCGACCTAATGTCAGGCTCGAACCGCATGTCGGACTCGTCCCAACCAAATGTGGGCCAATCCCAACAAACTGGCATGTTGCCCAATTGGCCAAGTAATTCCACAGTGTGTTCTTACTGGTGAGGCAATATTGGTATATGCCGTATAACCTAAATCCAAATGGTCGGTTTATGTGTGCACATTTGTTCCAGAAACTAACATCACTGCCCAGTTTGGAAGTGGTTCCCAAACGGCCTGCGATGGTGTGGAACTCAAGACGTGGATGTGGACGGCGGTGTTAACGATGGGTGTTAGATCTTAGATGATGAAAATCTGCAGGAGAGATACCTGACGGCCCGGGCAAACCTCAGTGACAGAAACAGCTCGAGACAGAGCACCATTTGCAATGAGGTATGTGGCCAGCGCTCGGACGAGCGCACAGTTGCCATCCCAGGGTGTGGCCGACGGCCAGGGATCAGCACCAGCAGACGGGCCGTGTGCGCCAGGACGCGCGCGCCTCTTGCAAGACGTCTGCAAGACGCTTGTAAGACGCCTCGCAGAGGCGCCGGGCAGACGCCTGTAAGACGCCTCGCGGCTTCTGCGTGATTCTAAAGGATTTCGATGATTGTCCAGCCCAAAGATGGAGGGGCGGAATGGGGGGAGGGTGGTGGGCTTCGGGCTGCGGAGGTCAAAGGCAGGGGGGGGTAGCTCGTCGTCGTCGTCGGCCAACGTCGTCGTCGTCGTGGTCGCAGGCTAGCGTCGTCGTCGTCGTCGGCCAGCGTCATCGTCGTCGGCGTGAGCGTCGTCGTCGTCGCCGTCGTCGTCGCCTCTTCGTCGTCGTCGTCGGCCAGCGTCGTCTTCGTTGTCACCGTCGGGGGCGGAGGGAGGGCTTCGACTGGTGAGGTGAAAAGGGGAAGGGGAGGGGTAGCGTGCAGTGTAGAATGTGGAGAGGGGGGAGGGTGTCAGGCGATCGCAAACATGGATCAAGGGGGCGTGGATTGGCGACGGGTCTTGTTTCCATGGGAAATCTCGGATTTCCGCGCCGAACGAGGCGGCACCGGCCGCATTTTGGGGAGGGCACCTCCCCCGATCCATGGATGATTTGGCGACCGCGCGCCAAATCCATGGATCGCTAATCCATGTTTGCGCGCCCCAGAGGGGGGAGGGCGTGGGAGCATGCAGAGTCTGAGAAAAAGAGGGACGGGAGCGGGGCGTCGGGCTGGGGAGGTTCAAGAGGGGGGGGGTCGCTTCCCGGCGGAGCGAAGAGCAGTTGGAAGGGGGAGGGGCTTCCAACTGGGGAGGTGACAGGGAGGAGAGGAGGCAGAGTGCAAGGGTTGCAGGAGGAAGGAGGGGCGGAGGGGGGGCCAGTTTCCGGCAGGGGTGCCAAAGGGTGGGTGGTGGCGTCCGGAGCGCGGATCACGGAGGGGCCGGGTTGCCGACAGGGGAGGTCCAAGGGGAGGGGGGGGGCAAGGGGGGACCCCTTTTTGGCGTTGTCTCCCGCGGCGCTCACTCTCCCTCTCTCCGTATCTTTGCTTGTCCTCCATCTCTCTCTCTCTCTCTTGATCTCTTTCTCTCTCTCTCTCTCTCTCTCTTTGTTTTTAGTCTCTCTCTCTGTCTCTCTCTTTTGTCGTTCTCTCTCTCTCTCTCTCTCTCTTATATCTATATTTATATGCAAGACTGTATTGGCGCTTCGCGCCATGTACCTTGGTCCTTGAAGTTTGGTTTGCAGGTTGAATGGCAGGAAGGTCAAACAAACAGTTTAGCGATAACTTCTTGTTGCCTTGTCCGGCATCGCCGTCATGATAATGTTTTTCGTTATCATTCCTCCACGTTTCTTTTTTCTGATTCTCGCCCTACCCTGCGAATTCTTCTCTATCCTCCTCAGCTCTTTTTGCGGAGGCTCCTCCTTGGAGAGCCTCTGGGGGCCGCGCGGAAGTTTTTCAGGCCTTCTTAAGGCCTTCTGGAAGCTTCCTGGGCGTCTTCTGGGAGCCTTCGGGGGCTTCCTCTGGCCACCTTGCCTCCAACCGTGGTCTCCCTGAACGACCGGGTCACGATTTGGAATGCTTCGGAGGGTGTCTTTGGGCCATCGTGGGCCGTTATAGGGTTTTCGTAAGCCATCTTGGAACCCTGGGTTCTCTTGGACTGCCAGGAAGCCCTTTCGGATGGTTTTGGGGCGGTGCTCGAGCCCCACAGGCGGTATCGGACGCCCAGAAGACGGAAGAACGGGGCATTCCCAAGCCTTGGAAAATCAATTTTTTCCTGCGTTTGGGAACCCTCTTAGGGGGTCTTCTTCGGGTCATCTTCGGGCGTCTGGTAGGTGTCTGGGGCCTCTTGGGGCCTTCGTTGGGGCGTTCGGCCGCCCTCCTGACCGATTTGGGCCCATTGCCTAGGCCCAGCACGGGCTTCCAGGAGCTCTGAAACGCCTGGGGGGCCTCCTGCAGGGGCGTCCAGGGGGCCCCCGGAGCCACGGATCCCGGGGGTCCAGAGAGTCCCGGGGGCCCAGGATTCGGTGGTTCAGATTTCGGGGGGGGGGAGCCCGAGTAATAAAAACATAATTGATATTCTATATATTATATTCCACACACACAGACATACATACATGAGTACAGATGGAGTGGCCTTCGGCCCGTCCCGCCACCGTCCCTGTTTTGTAGGTCAGAGGCCTCTAAGAGATTTGTCCGTATCTCTTGGGAGGCCGTCCAGAAGCCTCATACGGTTTTGGTGTTCTGGTGTTTCTCAGAGGGTTCTTGCGGGTCCCTTGGGGCTTCTGTGGGGCCTTCTGGTGGTCCTTGCGGAATTATTGGTGGTTTGTTGGCGGTCCTTGGGGTCGTCTTGGGGCGGTGGGTTCGACATGTCAGTTCGTGTTCACTCTTCTTGTCCCCCTCTTTGGGGCCTCTTGGGCCATCTTTGGGGCGTCTTGGCGCCCTCTTGGGCCGTCTTGGGGGGGCCTCTCGGGCCGTCTAGGAGCGTCGGACTCGCGAAATAGCGAAAACCTTAAACTATGTCCACCTTTGCAAGAATCATTGTTTTGGGCTTTTCGAGGCCCTCTTGGAGTGGCTTCTTCGAGCCCTCTTGGGGGCTTCTTGACCGTCTGGAGGTCATCGTGGGCGTCTTGGAGCGCTCTTGTACCGACTCGGATCCCACTTGTGCCGTCTTGCGGGCCTCATAGGGGCCTTATTGGCTTGTTTTGGCGCCTTCTTGCTGTTGGAAAAGCCACGCGAGAACACGCGCTAACACGCGAGACGCCCCAAGAGCGCGCGTCAGCGCCTGGAATTCGGGGCCCTGGGCAGTGTAAAGGAGATCCGCTACTCTATCAATTCGCGACTCTGTACAGAGGAGCCGAATCCCCGACAAGGGCCCGATAACCCACCCCGCCCAGGAGCGCGCGGGTTCGTAATCGGGGTCCTGTCGTCGATTTGTCGGCAATGTATCGCCGATTCTGCGGCAGTATCCCCACCCCTCGCCCTGCCTTGCCAAGGCGACTGGCGGATCCGCCCGTGGCGGCCATTCTTTGGGGCTTCCCATGCGAGTGATGCAGCCGCTGTCAGCCGCCACGCCCGCGAGGCTTTGTCTCGAGGCAGTTTTTGCGAATGGATGTTGTTGGTCCACCCCCAGCGTTCCATCTCCTACTCACCTCTCTTCCTGTTGCTCTCCCCCCCCACCTTCTCCAGGCACCGAGCGAGGACGTGGCTCAGGACGCGGCCGTTGTCGGCGCGCCTTCCAGGGCGCCCACTCGGACGTCATCCCTCCAGGCCCTCGGCGGTGAACCACGGAGGATGGGAAAGAGGAGGAGATGGAGGAGGAGGCGGAGGAGGAGGAGGAGGAGGAGGGAGAAAGAGGGCGGATGGAGGAGGAAGGAGGAGGACCGCGATGAGGAGAAATGGGAGCATAGAGGGAGGAGGGGAGGCGAGAACCTGAGGGCGAAAACCAAGAGAAGGCAGAATGTGTTCTGGAGAGCCCACGCATAGGGAGGATGGGGAAGAGGTGGCGGAGGAGGACGACGACGACAACGACTGGGAAGGGGATGACTCGTGGTAAGAACCGCACTTATAGGTGGAGGAAGAAGTGGAGGAAGAGGACGACGACGGCAACGAATGGGAGGAGGATGACTCGTCGTAGAAGCCGTACTTAGAGGTGGAGGAGGATGAAGAGGTGGAGGAGGAGGAGGGGGACGAGGACGAAAGGCCGCCATTCCATGTCGAACTCAGAGGGGTTGCCCCCTCCCATCCGCGGCCTTTACAAGACCCGCATGAAGCATGGCAGACGCGTCGTTGTCACCATCCGGGGAGCGAATATCGGACCCCCTTCGTGGCGTAACGTTCTTCTAGTACAACCCGCAGTCGGCGAATGCGTTTCGCAGCTGAGATTTAGTTGGAGGTATTCGCATCTGTACAATCAGTTGTCTAAACCGGACGCAGCTAAAAGCAGATCATGGGTTCGGGTATCGGATGATGAGGGACGCTGGTCACTTGAATGGGTTTGGGGACGGGACGGCATGTTAGTCGAAGTTGTGGGGTCAGCAGCTGGATCGAGAACCATACATATCCGCCCAGGCAACTTCATTGGTTTTTCTATATACGTGGAGGGCTACGGGGACGGGCGGGAGGAGTTCGGCTGGAACGATCAGGAATGTGAATTGTTGTACGTGCTCTGTATGTCCCGGCTGTGCCACGATGTGCTGAGCAACGAAGCGGCGGAGTTCTAATTTTCAGGCAATGACGAAGTGGATAAGCCAGGCTTCCCCGATTTTGTCAGCACGCCGGTCTTCTATTGCGATGCGCGGTGCGAGCGGTCAGTTCGTGTCTCTACCTGGGGTGACGGGAGTTTTCGGCACAGGCGCGCGATCTATCTGTTGTGAACACCGGTTATCCCGTACGTGGTGCACATGTTTGCTTGCACTCTTCACCGATGATGAGTGATTAGAGCAGAATCCAAGGGGAATTGTCGGACAATGTGCCTTGGTGCTGAACTTGCGCAAAGCATGCCTGGCACGTCTTCAGGC